TCACGGTTMCCTGCGCCATCTTGAAAGGTAGTGTAGACGTGTAGACCCGCGAGGCAAGGGATCGTGACGTATACCACAGGTAACCAGCATTTTTCCAACAGCACGTGCCGATACATATAYACATAATAAAAGCGTGCGCATTCGTTCTTTTCTGTCTCTGATATAATAGTTGGGCGGCCTATGCTGATTATGACGATATAGAAATGAAAGAAAGTTATAGTGCTTAGAAGGAGGCAATTCCGGGAGAAGTCCCTTAGGAATAAATTCGGAAAAATTAATTTCCGACCTCGCTGGGATTGGAACCCACGACCTTCGGATTGTACACCGATGCTCTACCAGCTGAGCTACAAGGCCAGACTGATTATGCTGATTATGGCCATTTTCACAATGACGATATCTTTTAAATAATCATTAACTTTTTTATGACAATAATTAATCATTTAACTATGTATATCACCCGCAATTATCTCTTATAAGTTTTCAATGTCAATCATCAAGTCTTCTACCAGAAATGCTTTGTAAACATGCACTCATCACTGCTCAACTCAACACTGTATTAAATATGTAGACCAAACGTTTTTTCACTTTTAGCAGAATATTAAATAAAAGCAACTTTCAAGCCAACGCAATCTAGAATTCAGTTTAGTTTCAAAAAGAAAAAAGAAGTTATTCGAAATATACTCCAAAAACAGTCCCAATAGCAAAGATGGATCCGTTTTTAAACTCGTACGATGTATAGCTATCAAAGTTCGTGTCCCACAGACAACGACTTCCGATTCTCATAGCTTGTTGGCCCAACTGTCCAATGTGTACCAAACATATAATCTTATACCTTTGAATTTTCATTTCTTTAACTTTTTGTTTCAAGTCCTCGGAGATGCTCTTTGTAAGCTGTCGGCAGGTGTTCGGTTCGTATTGTACTTCGGCGAGTGTTTCGGTCAAAACTTCTTTCAAAATATTTCGTACGTTTCCTTCTGGGAACTTTTGATTTGGTTCCATCTTGAATGTGTTTTCAAATTGTGGCTCTGAGGCGGCTTTAAATGGCGAGGTACCTGACAGAGATATTGAAGCTGAGCTTTGTGGTCTGGTGGAAGGAAGAAATTTCGTAGGAGACGGGTCTCCTCGCCGAGTCTTTAACAACCTCGCAGCTTTGTCGACCTTGCTTCCTCTTCGAGAGTCTAGACCATCCATTTTAAAAACACAGTTACGGTTTAGAACGAAATATATAAACTATCCAGTTATCTGAAGAAATTTTCCTTGATGGCAATTCAAACAGGCAAAGCGCCGCGTTTACGAAGATTTGTTTAGCTTCGAGTTGTTATAGAGATAAATGCAACCGTCAAACCGTGAATTAAATCGAACACCGATCAGCAAATCAAAAGCAATCTTTTGAAGAAGGGGCACGTTTGTTCTTTTGTTCGGCGCAGCATTAAATGTAATCCCAACTGCGAAAAGACAATGAATCCGAGTTGTGGAATTATATATGTCTATTCACTTGAGTACGTTTATTGACGAAAGAGATAATTATTTCCACTACTTCGCTCTTTGGAAGAATTAAATTATATAAACAAAACAAACAAAGAACAATTTATAATCTTAAAAATTGTTTTACTATTTGAAAGAAGAAATAATTGATAATAAAGAATTTAAGATAATATTGAAGCTATTTAATATTATTACATGGGCTTCCAAAGGAAGACCATGTCTTAAATTACCGACGTTTTTTGTCTGTGGTATGCTTCAAATTATATCCGGGACCTTTTCATTTTTGACATCTATTGTCTTACTGTCATTCATGTTTCTAAGCAACGATTCAAAGGTCGCCTCGTGCCCGAACATGTCGGATCTAGGTCTCTAGTTCTACAAATAGGCTAGATTCTTTTACAAATCCACATACCATTTGCGGCATAGCCACACTAAAAAAATTCGAGCGTTTCTCAAAAGGGCATTTGGAGAGATACGGCGAATTTATCGTGATGA